CACACACACACACACACACACACACACACACACACACACACACACACACACCCCAACAACAAAAGTGTGCAAAAGTTTACCCTTGCTGCTTGGTTGAAATAAGAAGCCATGTGCTTCTGATCACTTGATTATCTGATCATCTTCAGCATGACCTCCTTTTTAAAAGCAGGAGTTTTGGCAGTTTGCTCTTCTGGAGTATACAGGTGTGTGTAACATAAGACCAGAAGTTAATGCCTGCAAACTTCAATAAACTGAAGCGATGCTGTAAGAAAGAAAAATAATATTTCCAACTGAAAAAATGAAGAGTGTTTCTCAGACTGGTGCGCTGCAACAGTTGCTTCTCTCGGGTCATTGCTGGCATCTTTCCAGACCAGGAAACCTGCTAAAACTCCCGCTTTTACAGAGTTGGGCACACTTGGCAGTAATCAGTTAATCAATATATTTAATCAGCATCTAGTTGATTCTTTCCCTTCTAAATTTTATGGAAGCAGAGAAGGTGTACTTAGTTTGTCGCACTGCTTTACTGTGTTGGCTTTGTTTTTAATGAATAACGACAAGGTGGAGTCTGATGTGTGTTTCTGCACATCTGTGGTCAGATTAAATCTTTGTATTACCTGGTAAAGACCAGATCATTTTTATTAGATTCTGAAAAGTAAAAAGATGTGAAGGAGGGTGTACTTCCTTTGTTCGTACTAAAATATTTCAGTCAGAGTTTCTCACACACCAACACACACACACTCACACAGGAATGTTTGCCATAATGGACGGCCAGACAGGATGAGGTGTAGAAAATGTACTGCAGCTGTTGCTCGTATTTAAAGCACTGCAATTTGGAGCAAATGAGCAGGAAGGAGCTCCCTGTTTGGCCTCCAGGACACTTTGACAGTATAACTGGCTGCTGATGGACACACTAGATGCCGCTGCAGTCAGACCTTTTGGCCTTTTGCACTACAGCTCTTCAGCCGGCTCAGAAAAATTCACACCCAAGCCTCTGCTACCCCTCTGGCATGGTGCTGTGTTTTTGGTAGGATGAATGTGCGGGACTGTCACAAGTCCCATTAGTGTATGCTGAGCGTGTCAGAGCGCACTCAGTGTTCAGTTTGAGCTGTTAGGCCCAGGGGCTATGTATTCATCGGGGCATTTAAATATTCCAGCGGTTGCCAAAATGGCACCAAACAGAAGCGCTCCTGCTGAGTTTGATGGCAGACAAGCAGAGAGCTTTTCAGACCACATATAGACACATATCTTGTCATTTCACTAAGGCAATTTGTCACAATATGTCTAACTTCTAACAAAACATTTTTCCCTTTGCTTTGTGTAATGAGTATGCCTGTTTTGTAAAGTTCAGAAATAAATCTGTTTGCCTTCAGCTTGTTTTCAGACACTGTAATCTGTTTCAAAAGAAGTAAAACCAAAGTTGCATTCTTTAAAAAAAAGATTTTTCAAGACACCGGTGCTGGTCTGCTGTCGGCGATCTGATGGGCTGGAAAAAAATGACACCATACCAGGCGCTGACATACTTTATGAATGCAGCGATTTCCAAGAATGAGCTCCAAGGTCATTTCAGATGAAATGTGTTGATGCAAAGCTGCACAGATGATTTAATTACATCCTCTGTGTGTTTATGGATTTAGTCTTTGGATCAGATAATTAGTGCGCGTCCTCAACAAGGTTGAACACCTGCAAAAGGATTTCTGGGGTTTTCTGTCTGTGATTCCATTCATGTGAAGAAATCATCAGTTTGAGGTCTAACAGAAATGCAAAAAATACACCAAACAAAAGAAAAGCTTGGCATCAACAAAAGTACAAATAAAGTCTGTTCTGTGAAGAAACTCATATCCTTTAGCTTTCATGTTAAAGACTGAGATCATCTTATGTTGAGGAATAATGAAACTGAAGCAATTTTGTTCAAACCTTTAAAAACAATATTCCTGATCTATTATGAACTGTTTGCACACATTTCAAACTCAAGGCCCATGGGCCAAATCTGGCCCGTCATGCCATTTTGTGTGGCTCATGAAAGCTTTAAAGATGTATTAAAATAAGCTTTGCTACTTTAAAACCAGCATTGACCACAAACTACATCTCTTATAATTAGGGATGCACGATATATCAGCATTGACATTGGTATCGGCCGACATTGGTCATTTTTTAGAATATTGGTATTGGCCCAACTGGGCCAATCAATGACACTGATTTTCCATACTTTAGCTTTGTGTTTCTGTTTTGATATGCAAAATGTTTGGTCAAGTGGTGTTTGTTTGATCGTGATAGTGATATTAATGCTGCACAGCCTGGAGTAACTGAAGTAGAGCTATGTCAGAGGTCTGGTCGTTTATTTATGGCATCGAAAAAAAGACACAAGTATGTTTGTGCATATATGTATAATATAATTTGTGTGTTTGTGTAATATTGGTAAATATCGGTTATCGGCTATGACACCAATAATAATATTGGATATTGATTTCGGCTGAAATTGTCATATTGGTGCATCCCTACTTATAATGCATGTTGATTTTATCTGTGAAATGATGTTATCCCACCACTAGGAGGAGGTCTACAGGGTTCAAATGTATCTGGCAGCCAGCAAAAATCAGCATGAAAAATCTCCATTTGGCTGCATTTTTTGCTATTATTTACGCAGTAGCCGTACCACCCTGAACACACCACCTCTCCTCTGATCTCAGGAGCTCAGCAGGGTTGGGCTTTGTTAGTACTTGGATCGGAGACTACCTACCAGGTGCCGTAAAACCAATGTAGGACCATATTAGGTCATATGTCACTTTCTAAATAAAAAAGGATGCAAAAATAATTGACCATTAAACCATTTGTAGATGTGCAACCAATAAAACCATTTGTAAGAGTTTCATTCAATATGGCTC